GTAGGTAATAGAAAAAATCTCGGGTTAAAGACAATTTGAAAAATACACATATATTCTTCTTGAGGGTTAAACATACCACATTTCATGTAAATGATGAAGTAGCATGTCATTTCTGTATTTAGCAGTTCTTTTTACTCGTAAATTAGCCAAATAGCAAAACAAAGTGTTACCCAATTTAACGTTTCTGAATATTTTTAAATGGTTAGAAAATGATATTATGTGATAACTTTGTGATATTTGATTGAGCTCTGTTAAGAATTAGGAGTCGCCAAAAAAAAAAAAAGAATTAGATATAATACATTTTATTTGTGAAACTTTTAAATCAGTGCAATAATTACAGCTAAAAATTTTTGATTAAATTTCTCTCTCAATCTGAATTAAGTAAGCAATATTTAAAGGCACAAAATAAGTCTTAAGCTATGACTTGATTACTGACTTTGAATTACATCTGAAGCTTAGAATAAGCAAAATTGTTACTGTGTGGAATTCTGAGCTTATTTCATGTACAAGGAGCTCAGGTGTCACAGTAGATCAGAAAGGTCAGCAGCCCAGATTCACCAGCAACTCCAGGGGAGAAACAGGTGTAGTTTTCTTGCCTAAAAATTTACAGTCTTTGAAAATCAGTAACAGTAACTATGAGTTAACATTTAATTGTTGGCTGTAGGCTTAGGTTTGTCCTTTTTAGTATTTTATTGTTTTAATAAAACAATGCATATTTTTATATTAAACTACCAATAAATATTTTCTATGCATGACATAAATTACGCTGCTGTATGATGGACCTCTCATGGAGTTGCACTGCTAACCAAAAGGTGGGTCTCCTCTGCACTTGGCAACTCCGCAGAATAAAAGATACACAATCTCCTCTATGCAATATACAGCCTCCAAAATCTCACAGGAGAATTAGCTCTGAGTTACTCCAGATTTAAGGCAATCAGATTTTCTTTTAAATGAGAAATCCATCAGATGTTTTCCTTCCAATAGCAAAGATAGTTTTGTTTTTTGAGTGAAATCACAGCTTCAGGGTTCTTCCTGGTTTGTTCACAGTACACTACACAGACATTAGGACTGATCTGGATTTATAAAATTTAGTCACACCAGAATGAGAAAATTAAGAGGTGATGTTATCAAAATCAAACTCATTGTTGTTGAGTAATAACAATTTACAGTTGATCCTACAGTGAGTTTCCTAAACTATAAATCATACAAGAGGAGATTGGACATCTTTTTTCCCTCTGCAGAGCAAGTGGCAGATTTTTGTTGTTTGGGGGTTAGCGTAAAAAAAAAATCCCTAAGGACTTGGTCACTGTCTCCTCCTTGGGATTAAGGGCAGTGTTTGTGATATACAGCAACCAAATCTCTGACACTGTAGGAAACAATGGCCCAGGCTGCATAGTGGTGACTGATCATGCTGCTACTTGGAATGTATATTGTATTCTACTGAGCTGGCAATAACCCAAGTCCTGGCATTAGCCATCTGAAAGGGCTCTCCTCTTTTTACTCTCCCATTTCAGGGCTTCTTTCTACCTGCAATGTTATTCCTATTTGGTTAGCATTCCATTGACTCAAATTTTAAAGATTCAGTCTGTTCTGGTTTCACTGCACTGGCCATTGAAGTCCTGATTTTCTGTAATGCTTGATATACAGTGTTTCTTTTCTGTATATAATCAGTTTCCTCTGCAAAGTACCTTTTCTAATTTAGTTTAAATAATCCTATTTTTGGTGGTGAACTTGTATTTTCATACTTAGAGGTGGTGAATACATTTACACACCAAGTGCACAAGTAGTATCTTCAGAAACAGTACTTTGTTTCATTTTTGTTGTTTCAATGATCTCATTTGAAAGCCTGGGATTTTTAATATAGTGAAATTTCCAATTGTTCTACTCTCTACATTGTTCTTTCACCCTCCACTTAAAAAAAGAAAAAAGAAAGAGGAAGGGACATTTATTTTAAATTTATGAAGCTTATTCTTTGAAATAACTACAACTTACTCTAAGAACCTATTTCTCTCTTAAAATTAGAATCCATTTCCCAGAGGCAAATACTGAGATATATATAAGTATTGTATCAAGTTACGAGAGAATGATGACTATACCTTCAGTGATAATGTGTTTTGAATTTATACGTTTCTTTCATATACATAAAGTTTTGTATTACCAACAGTAATTAGGTAACATAATAGACATGTATAAAAAGTCTGCATAACGTCTATATTTGATGATATGTTTACATCTTTGGGTTATTCATGATAGATGTTTAAAGTGGGGAAAACGGATGGAAATATGAAATTACTTTAAAATTTCTTTTCTCATTGATTTAGCTAAATGAAACCAGGTTATTTATCAAGTACACTACACACTGAATACATTTTAAACTTGAGAATATTCGCCCATATATGTTGATTTTATATATTGTATTGCTCAGAAAAATGAGATTTCTAATTCATTACAACACACACATATACGTATACTTTTCTCAATAAGTAAAAGTCACAGATGTGAAGCTAAAACAATCAGGTTTTAAGTACTGTGAAGAAGTTGCTATTTTAAAATATTAGAGCTATGTGCAATGAGGGTTTTTTTTTTCATTTGAGTGGTTTCATATGTAGTCTTATATGTTTTGTCATTAGCCAATTACAGTTGAATTACAACTTATATGTTAATATGGATTCCAAATAATACTGTTCACTGGGGATTTTCTTGTTCACTATGCAATTTACTTTTACTTATATCCTATAAACATCAATGTACAGAGATACTATAAAAGAAAGAAGATTGGTAAACTTAAAAATGAGAATAACTATGGGGCTTTGCAGGCCTGGCACATGTGCATTTAACGTGAAATCCTTTTTTCTCTAAAAGTAAAAGGGAAGCTATGCATGCCCCTGAGTCTGATTGAAGGTGGAGACAAAATAAGGGACTCCCCAAACCACCTACACTCACCAGAGGAATGAAAGATGTTAGTTCTTTGGTTTCTTGGTTGTAATGGAAAGCTATTTGTATTCTGATCACTGAGTACTAGTCATTCAACAGATGAAAGGAATATTTCCATCTTTTAAGGCTACCTTGGTGTCATCTTAAGAAGTAAGGATGAGACTCCAGGGAAAGTGTTGAAATCCTGCAGTTTCTTTTAACTATTAGATGTTGTTTAATACTTATGAGTTTTGTTTTTAAATTAATAGTTTCAAGTGCTCTCTGTGTGTGAATTTTGAATTATAATTCTAGTGTTTTAGCTTACAACTTTTAAGTTTAAAGTATGTTTGTGTATCTATAGTTTCAAATCTCCATAACAAATGTGCATCACTTTTAAAAAAACATCTCTTTCCAAAGTTAATCTATTAAGCAATTACATTTTCTATGCATCTTTTACAGAGCACTTAGGATGCTTTTAGATATAATTTCTAAAATATTTAATAGGCATAATGGCTAGGGATATGTGACATTTAAGAAATAAAACTATGGAACCAAAGAGAGCTTAGAAGAGAAGGAAATTTCATTTTCTCTTTTCTGTGTAATCTTTTATTAGGCAAATAAAAACGATAGGGAAAATGTATCATGAAATGAAACAACAAAATTCTGGGGATTACTATGAGAGGTATTTACTTGAATCAACTCAATCTACTTTATATTTCCAAAAGTAAGAAAGGAGAAAAAAAAAAACGCATGAAAATTTGGAGACATAAACCAGACCAAACTTTGTCTACCATAAATAAAGACAAACCATAAGCGACTGAAGACTTCATTTTCAAGAATGAAATGCAGGCTAGAGAAGAAAAGGAAGTTCATCTTTAAAACGTGATCAAGTTACATTACGTGACCTCTTAAATTGATGATTTGGTAATTAAGGTTTTAAAGTTCTTTCTCTTTTTATATTGCCCATCTCTTGGATTATATAGTGTTCGAAACTGCCTAATGGTAAACAGACTTCTCTGAGTAGTCATCTTTGCGGCTTGAGTTGGTTGAATTCACTGGAGATACTGGCCAATCTTTTATTCTTGGGTTTTATTTGAAATATAAATTACTGAATGGTTCCTGAGTTACTAAAGAGTAGTAAATACGTAAGAATTAAGAAGGCCTTGCTTTATTACTTTAACACGTAGCAGCATAATGAAATAATTTATGCAGAGAAATAGGAAACGATTTAGTTCAGGCTATCCTAGGAAAAGCAAAGAATAAAAAACGTTAAAAAAAGAGAAAAAGGTTTATTTGAGGGTTGTCGTTTAATGTTTCGCTTCAGTTAACAAACTATTGAGAAATGCAAAGGCAGGAGTGAGGGGGTACTTAAAACAAAAGACTTTCTTTCCCCACTACCTTTCCCCGTTTCTTCCGCCAAAGCTTGTTGCAAACTCTTGGAAACATTGTTTAAGCAAAATATATTTGACTACTTTTATTCTTTCATAGTGTGAACTGACTCTCGCTAACAGAAAAAGAAACGTAGAAATCATTTAAGAAAGAACAAAATTACTCGACCCGCGAAGGATGTGAGCAACAATAAAAAAGTAAAAAAAAAAAAACAAACCAAAAAAACAAAACAGCAGCACTTTACTTAAAGGCACAGCTCTTTTCACTGCCCAGGCTTTCGGCGCTTGGTAGCTGAAAGACGGCTTGCATCGCCTAAAGAGACCGCGAGGAGTACAGCCATACGCAGGAGTGTAAGTTATTCTCGGATTTGTTCTGCACCAGGAAAGCTATGGTTGCTAAAAGCAGAGCGCCCACAGCAGCACGCACATAGCCTGCCACGCTCATCTCCTTCTCGGAGCATCCAAGCGCTAGCTGAGAGCTCAGAACCTGGAGGGAATCCTGGACTGGCAACCTGACTCCGCTCGGCGCGGATTGGCCAGCGCTCCAGACCACACCCCCGAGGCCGAGGCGGCCTCTCCACCGGGATACGCCCCCTAGCCCTGGGAATCGCTGCCTAGCAGGCCGGCTGCGCCTGCCACTCAGCTGGAGTGGCGGAGGCTCAAGGCACGTAGCCCCGCCCCCTCTTCCTAATTGATATTATTGGAGTGTGGAGCAAGCGGCCGGTCTGCAGTCGGAGACTTGCAGGCAGCAAACACGGTGCGAACGAACCTGAGGGGGGTGGGAAATAAAAAAGCTAAACGTGGAGCAGCCAGCCGGGGACCGAGAAGGCATAATAGATGCGAGGAGCGCAATAAAAAAACCAAAACAAAACAGCCCACTTCGGAGCAAACAGCATTTAAAAAAGCTACGACTCAAGATAACTGAAACCTAAAATAAAACCTGCTCATGCACCATGGTTTTTCAAACTCGGCACCCTTCATGGATTATTTTATGCTACATCTGGCTTCTCCGCTTTGCACACACGGGGGAGGCACAGGCTGCGAAGGAAGGTAAGGTGACAGAAAAGCAAAGTTTGTTCTGACTTATTTATTTAGCTGTCTACCTGAACGAGCCGGCTCGTCAGCGGGGTTATCGGCCGCGCCTCCGGCGCCAGGCGACCCTCCCCCGGCGGCTCCCCGCCCCCTCAGCGCTCGGTCTTCTCCAGCCCGGCTGGCGGGCGGCGGGCGGCCCGTGGGGCTGCTCGGGGTCGCCTGCAGCCGCGCGCCCGGGGCCGTCCTCCAACGGAGCGGGGTTTCTCCTGTGTGCAGTTCGGTGGGAGCGAGCGGCCGGGGAAGGCAGGGGAGAAAGGACGGCCGGCAAGCCAGTTCTCTAGGACCCCAGACGGGTCAGATCACCCCTCTCCCACTCTCCTCCTCTGCTGTCTCCTCCTCAGGGTGCTCGCCTCTGCTGGGGAAAGCTGCGGCCGGAGTTGGGTTTTAGAGTGGGGAGTGCAGCCTTTGGTGTCCAGCGAGCGCTTTAGAGAGTGGCGGGCGAGCGGAGCCTTCCTTGAAGGATCGAGACTTGTGTGATCTCTGAACGCTCGGGTTACTAATGAAGTCCTCACTGCGTCGGAGGTGGCGGCTCGGGCCTGCGGTTGGCGCTCGGCCGCCAGCGCGGAACAATAACGCCGCGGAGGTGAAGCGGGACGGGCGGCGCGCGCCCCACGGGCCGGGGACGTCTCCATTCAGAGGGCTCGGAGCGCGGGTCCCGACGGCCGCAGGGGCACTGACAGCCCGGCAGGCTCCGGCCGCCCGCGGCACAGAGGGCTGGGGCTATACAATATGTAGTGAGATGACGCTTGGGTGACCTAGAGTCCTGAACCATTTAGCCCCAACGAGGCATATGAGGCGACCTATTGGTCAAAGCACGCGAAAGACCCGGACCCCGAGGGCTAGTGCTGGTTGAGGGGAGAGGGTTCCATTTGCTCAGCCAGATTACGACTGTGTGTGGTTATTTATTTATTTTGCTTCTCCTTTGAACCATTGACAGGAGGTATAATACCTTTCAGTGCCTGTAGTTGGAGCCGGGGAAAAATAAATCCTGTCAGTGGAAATGTCTTGCTTCGGAGCAGTGTCACAATTCCGGCCATCCCAGCCTA